ATCAACAAACATGTAATCTGACCAGGGGCGCCGAAACTTTTGCATACGACTGTATGAGTCTTTATGTATAGATGTCCACCGGAGCACTTTTGCTGGGTTCATGAGACAGGTGGAGTAGTGCTCAGGGGATTGTGGTAGCTGCAGTGCACTAGGCAATAACCAAAAAATCAACCATAACAAATTAATAATGAACCAATAATCAGAGAAGTTGAGAATTTCTGAACCTCTCTCAAATAATAAGCATATTTTTCACGAAATATTAAGAGAAAAATTAGATGAGGAAAACTGCCAATCAGTAAACATTAGGAGGAGTCTAAATAAAGTAAAGTAAAAATTGTAACAGTTTTCTTCTTTTACTTTTTGAGATGTATTCTAAATATATTCTGCATGCATATTGGCCCCTTATTATTGAATGAATTTATGACAGTGAGTTCAGTATTTATCCATCACTACTTTTTCAAAGTATTCTGCCTAACTCCGTGTTTATCTATGTGGAAGTTATCAAATTAAAACAACTGTTCATGAAAAGATTAAACTATTATGCATGATTAACACGATGCTATTTGAGTATTTTCTCTCATGTTGGAAGAGAACAAACAATAATGATGTTGTGTTCTTAAAATACAGCAAGGTAGCCTGTCTCATAATACTTCTGTCTTTTCTTGACTCAAACGTTCTGCCATGGTCCAGTGAGACCCACAAAGAAAGCTGAACCCCCCCACTATAGCAGGACTGTTCAGAACTGTTCAACAATAATGTTCAGCTCCAACAATAATGAACATAAAGCTCTGTAGAATGACCCAATCAGCACACACGTGTTTTTAAAACAGAACGCTTACATAATTTAGTACCTTCTGAAACATATGGACTGAATCCTGAAAAGTGGAGCACTTAAAAAATCCCCTTCTTGATGTTTGATTCATGTTCACTTCATTAGCTCATTATAAAAAGCTTTGAGGGATTGCTGAATTATACACACATTAAATACACACAAGATTAATGCAGGCACTTAAAGATGGAGCGACCTTATAGTTGTAGTTGATAGCTCTGAGAGCTTTGAACTTACACTTTAAATCCTGTGATGGTTTGGAATAAAACTGATAAATCAAAGTAACTTAAACTTTTACTTTTTGGGGGGTTTTATATATGCTTATGTATGCTATTATTCCCCGTAATCTCCATTCTAAATTCAACACAAAAATATATAATAAATTACAAGAATTATCACATATAAAACTATTTCAAAAGTAGCAGATTTATAAAGTAGCACTGTATAAAACCACTGTTGTACCTTTAAGGGTACTTTTGCATTGTTTGTACCTGCATGAACAAAAAATGTACCTGCACAGAACCTTTATTTCTAACAGTGTAAAGGTTCTAAAAACCAGTTTATTTAAGAGTAAACCTAACATTAAAATGGACGAAGGTTGTAAGTGCTACTAATCATGGCAATCAGACATTTGTTTAAAGTTTATGAGGTGGCCTCTGTTAATGATCAGTCTTGCACAACTAATTATTTGCACTTCAAAGTGCTCAGAAATTGAGTTTTATCCTGATGGCTGAGGAAGACACAACATCACAGCTCTGAAGAGTTTTGTGGTTAATTGGGATGTTTGATGGAAGTATCCAACCCCCTGGCGGGCTAAACAAAAACAAACCATGGCACTCATGCTGAGCGAATATATGAGAATGTAAGAGAAAAAGAGAATGTGAGAAAATGAATGACAAGCAAATGAGCAGAGTAGAAAAGTGCACGTTTGAAAAAAAAATCACACCTTCTTCTGTGGTACAAAAGCAGTACTTTCATAAGATAACAATATAAAGTAATAGAAAAACTGTCACTGAACAGAAAAACCTACTTTTCTTTACACTACAACATTAACAACTTGTGGCTGACTGTACTTGTTTTATAATGTGCTTAATTGCTCTGTGTTTCTTGTGGTTTCTTTATTTACATTTTGTAGTTCAGGCGCCCTCTGGGTATTTTAGGAACTATATACAGTGCTCTGTAAAAGTCTTAGGCATCAGAGAAAATGATCTGGAAAGCCATTCAAGAAAACTAATATTAAATATTAAATACAAATTAACAATACATTGTGGTTGGATGTGTGTGAGTATGTTAGCTTAACCATTTCCAAACCTCTCCTCAAGGAAGTCCAGTATTTACAATTACCATCCAACACCTGCTTCAGCCCATCAGTCCTTCATTAAATTAAATCAGGTGAGCTGTTGATGGAATTAACCACATCCATGCAATTGTAACCAACATTCTAATAAATGAGGAATTCTTGTTGCTTTTTAATGTGAAACATCTGAACATACAGGCCTTTTTTAACTTCCCATTAAATTCCACATTGATCGCAAAATACTTCTACTGACCTATAAGGCTTTAAATGGCCCTGCCCCACTAGACTATTTGGTGATTATGATCTGCCATGCCTGAAGGTGCATGCTCTTAATCAGTACCTAGAATTATGAAAATTACAGCAGGAGGGAGATCTACAAAGACCCCAGCTATGGAATAACCTTCCTGTCAGTGTTCAGAATTCCATCCCAATCTTGATCTGTAAGCACAGGCTGAAAACCTGCTTGTGTTATAGTTTTTCTCTTCAGACAAAGTACACATCTGGGGGTTCATGGACATTTAATTATTGTCTGGGAAACCAGCGTAGAGAGTCAGTCAAGAGCAAATGATGTTGGGGTGCTTACATCTTTGACTCTCATAAGGTAATTGATGGTGGAGTTAAAAGGCGCTGACGTTTTGATGTCTGTGCTACCTTTTTCATCTTTTTTGGTCAAGATGGTACAGCCAGGCCTGCCAGAGTAGTTCCTTATGCTAGCCTCCGCTATCATCACCATATATATCCTGTGTTAGGCACTGTGTGCCTCGAGTGTAACTAACAAACTGTTATCTCTTTCATGTGCCATCTGATAGGATGCTGATGCAGGATCCTGAAGTACTATACCTGCTATGGTTCCTTCTACCCTCTGGACCTGCTTGACCACTTCATTTCCCCTCTGTGCAACAGAAATAGTCTACCATTACATCCCTCTCAATTCTTCATTTGTAATTTAGATGATTGAATGCCAACCCCGACATCAAATCTTAACCTGGCCCTGAAAGTTGTAAATCTACCTTGCAATTATTTTATGTCTACTATGTTCTCATAATCCTGTACATTGTCACTGTACAAAGAAAAACATAGATCTCCAAAATAATAACTTTACAGAAGAAGACAAAATGTTAACATTCAATGTAAGTTAATGTAAAGAGGTGTTATTTCAAGTAATTTTGGATAATCAAAACATAAACAAAAAAAAATGCAATGATGTGTAAATCATTTAAATCCTATATTTTATTGAAAATAGTACATACAAAGACAACATTTCAAACGTTAAAACTGAGAATTTTTGTTTGAAAAGTAACAGAGAAAAACTGAGAATTGTTTATTTGAAAAGTATGTGCCCATCTTAAATTGGGACAGGGCATGTTTACTGCTGTGTTGCATCACCTTGGGAACTGATGAGACCAATTGCTATGGTTGCTGAACAGTTTGGGGTCTCCCTGGATGTATTTTTGTTTCATAATGAGCCCAATGTTTTCAGTGGGAGACAGGTCTGGACTGCAGGCAGGCAAGTTTAGCACCCAGACTCTTTTACTACAGAGCCATGCCTTGTAGTAGCTACAGAATTTGGTTTGGCAACACCTTGCTGAAACAAGCAAGGCCTTCCCTGAAAAAGATGTCATCTGGATGGCAGCATATGTTGATCCAAAACCTGTATATATCGTTCAGCATTAATGGTGCCTTTACAGATGTGCACGTCACCCATGCCATGTGCACTAATGCACCCCCATACCATCACGGATGCTGGCTTTTAAAATGTGCACTGATAATAAGCTGGAGCTCTTTAGCCCAGAGGACACAGCGTCCATGATTTCCAAAAAAGATTTTCAAATTTTGATCCGTCGAACCACAGGAGAATTTTCCACTTCCCCTCAGTCCATCTTAAATGAGCTTCTTCTTCTTTGCATGGTAGAGTGTTACCTTGCATTTGTGGATGCAGTGGCGAACTGTGTTCACAGATAGTGGTTTCTGGAAGCGTTCCTGAGCCCACGCAGTGATTTACACTAGAGAATAATGTCTGTTTTTAATGTAGTGCTGTCTGACGGCTTGAAGATCACAGCCAGTCAGTATTGGTTTTCGGCCATGTCCTATGCATAGAAAGTTTTCTCCAGATTCTCTGAATCTTTTAATGATATTATGTACTGTAAATGAGAGATCCCCAAATTCTTTGCTAGTTTACACTGAGGAACATTGTTTTCGAATTGTTGCACTAGTTGCCACACAGTCTTTCAGAGTGGTGAACCCCTCCCCATCTTTACTTCTAAAGGACTCGGCCTCTCAGAGATGATCTTTTTATAGCCAATCATGTTACTGACTTGTTGATAATTAACCTAATTATTTGTGAGATGTTCCACCAGGTTACATTACACAACTTTCAGTCTTTTGGGCATATATTTTTCAAAAAACAAAATTTCTACAAGTTTTTACATTGATGTATTGTCTTTGTATTACTTTCAATTAAATATTAAATGATCTGCTCATTGCATTGTTTTTATTTCCATTTTAGTGTCCCAACTTTTTTGGAAAAACCACTATACAAATAAAATTGTAAAACAAGGAGGGTTACTCAACACAGGAGATTAAACCTCTATTAAATTATCAAAAACCCCTGTCCTCCCCTTGAATTGCTTAAGCCTACCCACATAAAATCTTGTCTTTATGGTTTTACTGACTAAGCAATATTTCATGGAAAGGCAAGATATACCTCATAGAAGTCTCACCACACAGCTTTTACAAATGTACTTTAAAAACCTTTCAGCTAACACCTTTGGTCAAATCAATATTAGTAAATGTCAACAGAATTTACATGAGGCACGAGACTAACACACTCATACAGTGACTTCAAAAGGACAGCAAAGATGGCAGTGTGTTAATTAGATTTTTGGAATAAGTGTAAGAGGTAAAGCAACATATTAGTTATGGCTACGGAGTAAGTGTACCTAATAAATCAGCAGCAAATTCTAAGCATATGCAGGGGGCACTTCATGCAACGCTCTCAGAGAAACTGCTATTCCAGAGCTCCATCTATTGGCTATTCTGATAACGTACAGTACATTTTACCTCATACTCACCCAACCCACCTCAACAAAACAGGACTGTTCAGTGTAAAAATCAAGCTTTACTTCAGCTGATTTGTTTCTTCCATTTTTTTTTTATTTTCAGTGTACTTACAAAAAATACTGGATCTTGCCAGCATTAACTACCATTGGCTATTATGTGATCCTCCCAGAGAAAAGAATACAGAGTACCACTCAATATAAGTACATGACATTCATACAAAATAAAGTATTCATAAGAATATGTCCTTTGCTACCCAAAATCCTTTATGGAAAAAAGACAAAGTTCAACCGTCACAATAGATGGCTATGACTAAAACACACACACGGAAAGCAACAACAGGCAACCACAGCGTTCACCAAATTGTCCCAACATACTCTGAATATAAAGTTTTGCATACTTTTTTGTTCTAATACAATTCATTTGCACAGGCACATTCTCATAAATCTATAACACAGGTCCCAACAATACAGTGAAATAAATGCAACAAGTTGGAAAATCTCTCAACTATTTTCTGTACACTACACACTATACACACACGCACACACATTCATATTTCACACCCGCTCATGTGAAAATCGTAAAACTGTAAATTAAAAAAAACAAAAAGCATGAAAAAAAATCTGGGCAGCAAAATTTTTGGTTTTGCATGAGTGATGCACTTCTGGTTTTTCATCGCTACTTTACCTTTTTTTCTCTGTTCAAAAATGTTTTGACTCTAACTATTACATATACAGTATAGAATTTCATAGCTTTTATATAAATATTTACAAACAGCACATAGTTGTGTCCCATAAGAATATCTGTCATTATATAAAAAAGTAGATAACATGTTAATGCCAAGGAGGAGAAGCTTGCATTGGTAAATTTCAATAACTTAACTGCTAAAAAGAAATTTAGTTTCATACAGTAAGTGCGGCAGCCTCATCCATGTCTCTGGGGGGGTGGGGGAAAAAAATCTTGAGGCTTTGCTCGCGTTGTAGCACCAGCGGGGTTCGCACCTCAGTGCGAAGTTGAGAATTCACCTTGGAGTAGAAATATTCCATGAGGTCATGTGCGGTACCAACCAAAAAATAAATTAGTGTTGGATAACTTACAATAGTCTGGTATTTACAGGCAAGGTTGGATACGTGGCTTTTGTGAAAGGTTGATGATTGGAGTGAATGGGAGAGTTGTGATGGCAGTGAGGGTTCACAGCAGTCTTGCAGCACATTAGTGGAGGGTGAAGATCCTCTCGCATCCATTTGAGAAGCTCATCTTGCTATTGATGAAAGGCCAACGAGAAGAAACCCCAATCGGGCTCCTCATAATCATGGCCACCCCGATATGCAAGTGTAACACTAGGTAAACATGGGGCTGATGAGCCCTGGAGAGATCCATTAAATGAGGTTTAGTCCCCGTCACTTAAGTCCTGGACTAGGCTCAAGTGGTTCATGGCACGGCTGAAGGCGCTTTGCACAGCTTTGCGAATGCTCGAAGAGCGTCCCTCCAACATTTTGATTTTATCTAAAGTCTCGCTGATCCCAAAAGGTACCATTTTGGACTTAGGAAGCCATTGCCTAAGAAAAAAATGAAGCATAAGCTTAGTTAGGATCAAATATTTTATCTTCATCATTAGTCAGTGGGACAAAGAACGTGTTTCAGTCTTCAGGCTTAAAGCAAAACTACATTTCAATGAGCATTTTCTTAATATTTCTGTTATTATATGCAAATCACTTAGCTTTCCCCTTATTTAAATGGCAGAGCCATTAACACACAAAGTACTTTAAAAAGCTATTTAATTGGGCAATGTGTGTTCTTACTTGTTCACAAAAACTCTTTCATTTAACTATTTCCAAACCTCTCCTTGCAGCAACCTAGTATTATTTATCGTTATTATTCAATACTCGGTGTGGCTCAATCTATACTTCTTTCAATTAAATTAGGTTTGCTGGTGAAGAAATTTGTCAATCTCAAGTTATGGCTGGGGGCACTGTGGAGAAATCTGGAACCAAACATGTGTTCTTCCACCTAGCTCAGAAGATACCAACTACTACTAAAGAAGAAATTGCTGTTACTTTTAACAGCATTAATGTTTTTTTGTATTACTGTAATGTTAAAAGGTGTTCTTACAAACACAGTTACTGTCTAGATAAATGTTTTTAGACAATTTCCCCAAGACTTTTGCACAGTACTGCACGAGTACATAAATCATAAAACATAAATCAAGATATAGAGTCTCACCAGTTGCGCTTGTTGTCGAAGAAGCGGACGAGGTAGAGTTTCTCCTCTGACCTGTACTGCATCAGCTCGCCGACCCTGAGCACGTCCCGTGGAGGAGTGGGGATGAACACGCCTTTGCGATGATAACCCGCCCGGGGCATCTGCGGGTCTATGATCTACACGAATGAGTGAGCGAGAAGTCAGTAAACGTTTTTGCTCTCAGACAGTGACAGCGAGAGCTGTAGCTCGAGGATGGAAATGCTCATCACTAAACTGACACACCCACCCACACACACACACACACACACACACACACACACAGACACACCCACATTCTCTGTTTGAGTCACCTGGCAAACAATGCTTTGGCTTCTACACCTCTGATTTGTGCGGCAGCATGACACTTGTGTCATCATGAACACAAGTCACAGGATGGCAGAAGGCAGATGCATGGGATGATGAAGAAAAAGAAGTCTCTGTCTGGCATGCACACATGCACACTCACCAAGGCAGGGTAGGAGGGATATCCACTAAGTTTTGCCCAGACTAGTTTAAAGGGTTCCAGAGTTAGTGTGGTAGTATTAGAGGGCATCCATATATTGCTGTTGTCAAGTTCTACGGAAGTAGGAATAATGATAAGTTATGAGGGGTTCACCAAAAACATGAGGCAGAACACCTCAAGAGCAAGAGCCATGGCTGTGCAATTCCAAACAGCATTAAGTAGCACGGGCCATCTCTTTGATGCAAAAGGCATGAAGCAAAAGGCAGTTTACCTGTGCAGTCTCCTCCACAGTGGGAATTTATCATACAAAGTTTAAGAGAATTCCATCCAAAAATCAGGCAAAAAGATAAACTGCACAGTGATTTAAGCACTGCTTTGTTAAAAGGCATGCTTAAGAATTCTAAAATACTTAATTAGATAAACTCTTTTGTTTAAGAATCATGAAACAAGTCATATCTAGTCAGCCCACTATGAAGCCTAAGAGTGTTTGAAAATCAAATGGCACCGGAAATAAATTAGTGATACATATTAAAGAACATTAAAAATGACTTTTGAATGGAATTGAACTCGTCATTGCTTTGTTAGCAGGCAAACATGAAACGTTTAAAACAGGATTAGCTGTGATGGCTTTAATTATGAGACAAGATGTACTTGAAGCTGAAATTATTCATGCAGACAGTGAAGCAAAAGCAAAGGCATCACAGAGTGTCAGCTGAAGCCATGTAGCAGAGCATTACTGAAGCAAGCAAAGAGGGATGGGACAAGCAAGCTTCCCAAAGCTGACCTGGCAGCAGCATAGCCACATATATGACTCTCAGCACTGGTTATTTTGTTAATAAATGGCCATTGTTTCCAACACAAAAACACTGCAATTCCACATTTACCAAAAGCAGGCAACTCACCAGCTGCCAACTTGCTTGCTTTGGAAATGTTCCCCGTTTCCATGCACGCAGTCAGTTCATTTCTGTCATCCGTCGTGTTTCGCCGTGCCATCGCCTGCTTCCCTTTCCCACTCTTGGGCTGACTGACAGTGCTAAGCAAGCCAAGAGGAGAGCTGTTCCAAGTTAGTGTTGATAAAAACAAACTGTCAAGGCGTTTGCATTATATAATAATGTAAACATTGAGCTAAGCTGCTGATATTTTACAGTAAGTAATCTGTTTGAAAATATGCTATTCAAAGCTCATGCAATGTAAACATTTTAAAAGGCACTGACTAAATGTGAGATGGTGTAAATCTTATTCTTACTGTTCATACCCCGTATGTCCCAGCACGCTGGTGCTTCCGCTGGAGGAGATGCTGGACTCTGAGGCACAGCGGCGGCGAGGTTCTAGCACTCTGCCACTTAGTTCTTTCTTTGGCCCCAATACAAAGCCATTAGACAGCCCTTAGACACAGCAACAAATCACTTCAGTGGACATGCATTTCTATGCATTAATTTATCACATTCATCAACCCAAGTGGACAAAACTGGTATAACAAAAACACCACAAACTTAAAAATTAAGCACTCTGCACAGAAACCTTTTTTGTCAACAGTGACTGATGTTTGCAGTTCACCATGATGAATAAATGCAAGGATAATAATAAATAATAATAAATCTTCCTTTCATGGTCTTACCAATGCTTATAATAAAACACTTTTACCTATCATTTAGTGATCTTAGAGTGGCCTTAGGATAACAATGCTGAGAATGTGTTTTCAGAACAACTGATGTTTAAAAAAATGTTTACACCAACCCTCTTAAGAGTGCTAATAAGTGTGCTATAGTTACCCGTATCAAAACGCTTCACTGGGCGTGCCTCCTCGTCTCCATCCTGGCTGTCTCCACTGCGAGCCCTCTTCCTGTGTTGGAGCAGGGTCTCTAGACGAGGAATGACCACTGACAAAATTGTCTTGGAGCCCAGCTGAGGGCAGTCCACTGAAGCTTGTCCAACCTTTACTGGCTTCTGGGGGCTAACACTCTTAGACTTCCGGAAGAGCACTGCGGTCCTTCTGTTAACTGTGCCTGCTGGTTCTGTGAGTGTGGAGGTAGCTACCACAATGTTGTTTTCAGAGGGTTGCACTTCAGGGGAAAGTCCATTTAGCAGTGAGGTAGAGAGCATCTTTCCATCAAATTTGACCTTTCTCGGGCACTTATCAAGGCTAGGTTCCATGGGTTTCAGTGCAGGGGGCTCTGAAGGACTGTCCAAATTTGGGACAAGTGGAACAGAAACTGAAGGCTCCAGTTTGGGAGGTAATGACTTGTCAACTGTGAAATGAGAAAAAAGAAAGTATGAATACACTTCAGAATGTCTGTTCATTGTCTGCAGCAGATACCATATGTATGTGCTTGTAAACAATCGGCATTTATACCAATCAAAGCTAAAATAAATGAAGAACAAAAAAAGTAATAACTCAACCTTCTTCATCCAGACACTCTGAAACAGAGCACATTGTGTCCATCTCCTGGGGTTGTTCTGAGGGAGGGCAATTGGTCTGCTGGCTCATTTCAAGTCGGACATCACCGATGGTCTTCTTTAGCAGCTTGATGCGCTTGCTCCGTGATGGGCTAGATTTCATAGCAGTGGTTAAATCCAGCATCTCTAACAGCTTATTAAGCTGCTCCTCCAAAGACATGTGCACCCGATTTGCTGGATTCAGCAGCCGGTCCACTGCAACAGCCAAAACATTGTAGAACATTCACTCATCCTGTTTCCCCATTTCCATTCAACAGGCCAAATCACTTTCCAAGATTTGCATAGACCACTGTCTGAACTGTGCAAACCAGCACCTACAGAGCTCAATCATAATGCAACAACTGACAAGTGCTACCATGAATATCATCCATTCTCCCCTTAATTAGACACTAATTAACCTCAATTTATTAAAAAAGACTTACTTCTTTATTGATACACATTTCATACCTGCTTCCCATGTCAGGGCTGGAGGAGGCTCTATTTTAGGTGATTCTGGTAGATGGATCCCACTGGGGAAGTCAAAGCCTATCCGCTCCACATCTCGCCGAGCCTTTCTAAGGATAACTCCTCCATGGTCTCGCATGCGCACAGCAACACGGTAGAAGAAAGTATCCTTGGCATTGTACTTCATGCAGTTATTGATTATGAGGTTGAAGTCATCCTCAAACTCATCCAAATTATTGTATTCATGGGCATTGATGCGTTTCCTCATGGTAGAGAAGTCCATCGGGTGTGAGATGTGATCAAGATAATCTGGAACCTTACAGACAACAATGATTCAAAAACTGTTATGTGACAAGAACACAGCTGCCCAATTAAGACAAAAATAAGCTTCAGATAGGACCCAACATGGACCAAGCGTTATCATTTACAGGTGTGAAAAGCAACACATAGCATAAAACTCCACATGACAGGAAAAGAAACTGATGAGTGTCTTACCTCATTAATGCTCACAGGCTCAGCAAACACCCTGGCCTGGTCTTTCTCTTGAAGCTGGTCCAGCACAGTTCGCAGCACAAGGGTAAATGGAGTTAGCTGCATCTCCAGCACTGACTGCTGAAGCTTCATCTGAGGAGAGAAATCACAAAATACGAATATCACAATTAAATAAAATCAGATCAAAGCAACTGCACAAAACTGTAACACAATAGAGAGTGATATGTTATTCATTATGTAATAGTAAAGGCTCTGTCCACTTGTCGAAGCTTGTGCCCATCTCAGTGCAGAAAGCTTGCTGCTTGCAGAAAGTGGTTGCTTTGCTCTGACCTGCTCTCTCTTGAGCTTTTCTCGCTTGCGAATGAGCTCCAGCAGCAAGCGTGTCCGCTCCAGGTCATGCCGCAAGCGATGCAAGTCCTTTAGCTGCTCCTTCAGTGTCCGGCAGTCATCCTCGCTTTGCTCCTGAATTAACACACACAGAGAAATTGTTTACCCAAACCCTTCTAGGCAGTCCTAGGCAAAAGCCCTGATGATAGTCATTTACTGAACAGCCACTGATGGATTTTATTTTAGACATATGACTCAAAAACGTTTTTGGTGAACACTGGTTTTAAATGTTGTCCATTGTATAAATAAAATGGTCAAGACATAAGAATTACATAAGTACAGATTAACATTTCATTGCTTAACAGTGTGTAGTGCATTAAAGCACTTACCAGTTGCGGTGTTTTCTGAGTTTGTATGGTGGTCTGCAGACGTCGAATAAGAGGCACACCATTTCTTGACTGCCTTTTCAGCATCCAGTAACTGAGAACACGCTCCACAAACAGCCTTTTCCTTTGCACAGAAACTTGGTTGAGGATAGTGCTGAAGCTGAAAAACAAAAATGAGAGTAAGAGATCAAAAATTAAATAATGTTATGATTTTCTAAAATAATAACAACCTACTGCTGTCAAAGGGAATGCTACACATCTACCAAATATAGCAGAAGTCAAACGAACAAGCCTGCTGAGAAAAGATTTGTACAACATACCTTTATGTAAAACATGTGGACAAAAGAAGTAAGTATTCATCATTCAGTTCTTATGTCACAAGTGGATTACCTTTTAGGTGTTATACTTGGCACACACACAGCTGGAACCACTGGAACCGGCTCTGCCTCTACTTTTTTATTCTTCTTTTTCTGGCATCCCTTTACTCTTGTCCTTCCATTTTTCTGTTTGCCCTTCTGACATAGACCGTTTTTGGGTTGGGCCTCTTCATAAATGGCAAGGGGCCTCCTAACACAACCGTTGGGAGTATGCGAACAACAATAGGCTGTCTTCTTCACTGAAAATGTTGTGGATCCTGTATCAGTCACTTCTTTGATGGGCTCCATCTTCATGTACAGGCCAGCTTTCTGAGCGCAGCTCACATGAAAGGCAGTATAACAATTGGCCTTACTACACTGTATGCATGCACCAACTCCTCTCTCTTTACAGAGGTAGCAGGTCAGCTTCCAACGAGCTGGCGGAATGTTAGCAACGCCATCAATGGGCTCAATGAAGACTGTGTTGGTAAAGCCAACCTCGGGGACCCAAATGGCGCAGACCACATGGCCCCAACGATCATCATCTGTTCTCTTAAGCGCTCCACCTTTATTGGGGCAAAAAATACACTCTGCAGGCTGGGAAGGAGACTGTAAACAACGGCGGCACAACCACTGGCCCTCTGGGATGTGGGGGACCCCGTAACACTCCTGATGCACTGCTAAGTTGCACATGTCACAAAAAAGAATAGCATTACTGTTCTGACACTCGCCATCCATGCAGATGCAGCACACAGCATCCTCATCAATAAGGGACTGTGGATCCCCCTGACCCTGGCTTTCAAAAAAGGACTCCTTCTCAAAGCGGTCCATCAGGAACTCAAAAACATTCTGGGACACCTGGCTGTAACCATCGCTCTTCCTCTTCTCATTGATCAGATCCAGCCATGCATAATCTTCCTCATCCATATCATACTCCACCTCTTCGTCCAGCTCATCTGATGTCTTCTCCATGTAAGTGTAATAAGAGGAGGGTCTTCGTGGCACAGCTGGAAGATTATACTCAACCGTTCTGATTTTTGGCTCTGGCAACCTCCCCTGAGCTGGAGAGGTCTGTCCTGCAGTGAGAGCGGCACACTTCTTCTGCTGATTGTTTTTGAGCCGTACAGAGCGCACCAAAACCTGTTGAGGCTTCTCGGTGTTCTCCTTGTTGCTGTTGCATTCACTGATCTCCTGAGCTAAAGGATCATCACTGCTGATGATATCAAGCTTGTCATAGATGCTGATTCGGTGAACACGTCCTTCAATCTCCAATTCTACCATGCGCTGGGCCTCGGCATAAGTGAGAGTCTCACGGTTTCGTGAGGGTTTGATGGGTGATGGAGACCTCTGTGTGGTGGCTGCACGATTATTCCGACTTTTCTTCCTCATTTTTAACACCTGGAGGAACTAACAGAGAGACATTCATGTAAAAACAAATCAAAGACAGCACCGAAAAGTTTCAGCTAGTATTAAAAATACATTCCTTAACTTACATTCACTTATATCAACTTACATTCCTTATGTTACAGCTCACTCTGTTTTGATTACTGTAAACCTAGCAATGTATCCAACCTGCCTCCTACAGAAAACTATCTGTAACGAACTCGCTGTGTGCCCATAGCAACGGCAAGCCAGGCTTGAAACTGTCCACTGTTCGTCAAAACCTGACAACAAACCCCCGACTGTTAAAAGTGTCCTGTAACTTGCACCTTATGCGTGCAATACAGTGTATAACCTCTGTATTATATTCCAGCTCCCCGAATACAAAGCACGTGGACAATATACCGTTATAATTTGCATGACAGTATCGTTATTTGGGTGCTTAAAAGATAGCTAAACAACCAAAACGAAAGCGCTGCCTAGCGTTACGGCTGTGCTCCCCAAGAAGTGGTGGAGCATACAAGCCAAGTTAAGCTAACTAGCTAGCTTACTAATGCGCAGAAATACTATTACGGTAGCTATTGTTGAATTAACCCGGGAGTCCACAGCTTCAGTGCATCATTTCAGGTCTTCCCCGCCCAGCATACCTGATCTAGTTCAAGAAGAGCTTAATAATTAGCTCATGAAGCAGTTCGGGTTAAACTCTGCAGGGCAGTGTGCCTACGGGACTGGAGTTGAGAACCGCTGAATTAAGCTATCGTTAATCAAGTTATCCGAGTGGGAGACCAACGTGCCTGAGGGCAACTTTTATAAGCACACTTCAGGTGGAAAGCCACTGTACAACATAAACATGTCTTGCTAGAAGCGTAACACTCGCCAGCTAAAGTAACTAAGGGTGTTAGCCGGCTAGCTAACGTTACCACAACACAAACAGGCCAAGGACGAGCACGAAAATCGGCGGTTTCCTCCTGGCTAGCTCTAGCGGGCTAATCCGTGCTAACGTTACTAGTCCTCAAAATTAGGCAAAGATGGCGTCAGACAAAACAAACAAGCTCTAAAAGGGAACATTAAGGGAAACGTTAGCTAACGCTCTCCCACTTCCACACCACATGCTCTAGTTCCTTAAATGCCGAACGAGACACTTACGGGAAAAAAAAGAGAGCCATCTTTCTTACCTTCGGCTTCGAAGTATCGTAGAGTAAGCCCTCAAAGCAATGCTGTAGCACGCTAGCTTCTAACTTAGCTAAAAGCGGCCGCGGCGTGTAGGGCCTGTGGTAGAGCAGCGGAGGCTAAAGCACGCAGCCAGTCCCTGCTAAGGCAGCGTTAGCGTTAGCATCCAACGGGAGCCGCTCGAGCTTTTACTCGTGTTTGAAGGATACGGCGCAGTATCCACGACAGCCGCCTGGATTCCGAGAGGAGCTGTCTAAGCCGCATTAACCCGCGCGTTAAAACGACCATTCGCCTGTTTATGCGGCCGGTCGGTTTGATGGTGTAAGATGCGATCTATGTGGGTGCTAGCAAGCTAGCTCGCCGTTCCTGCCCCCAACAACAATGCGGCTGTACGGATCCTGCCCAGCGCACAACGTGACTCACTACGTCCCGCTCTACAACGAGGAAGCAGCGAGGAGGCCGGGAGCCTAGGAGTAAACCCCCCTCCCCCACTCCTCAAGTACAAACAAATAAACCCTAATGAAGACTGAAGTGTGACAATATCTGATATATTTGGTGCTTTCCTACGCGTGGAACCCCACGGTGGAGGCCAGCGTTCATGAGTATTTTGATTTAGGATTAGAATTAGGATTGAATTCTGGTATGTTTTAATGAGTTGGGAATTACTGATGAGAAACAGAAATTGAATGGGTCTCTATAACATTTTGCTTTCTCCATTTTCCATCTTCTCACTTCCTATTCTCCACCCATGCCTAAGTGACTTCGAGTCATCCAAAATCTTTAGGGGGCAGCATAGTCGCAGTTACTGAATTGGTGATCTGAAAGTGCACCGTACACAGGAAAACGGGAGTAGAAATGTGGAAATGTGTCAAAAGGGCGTTTGTTTCCTCCTTTTTTATATCTGAAAGAGATTTGTTTTTTGAAACACAGCGTAGCAAAGAATCTCCCTCAAAGGCTATATTTATGTATGCGAACAATAAAGTACGATTTAACACTGACTTAAACACTTATCAGATGGACATTTTTCAGACCAGAACACACACAACATATGAGAGTATTCACAGGGCTAATAGATGAGGATAACACATGCATGCTCAAGAACAACATAAGACAGTTTCATATTATAGGAATTTATTGTTATAAAAAATAAACTCAGCACTGTTTACAAATGCAAAAAGAATTCCACAGTCACAGTGGAAGTACAAACTAGGGCGCTACTTCCATCTAGTATGGAAGATAGATGACAACTTCTAGAGTCATGTTACATTAGAATGGAATCACTTAAGCAACTCAGTCCCACCTAAATGTATATCAGCATTAGTCAGGTTTAGCTCACCTGCAAGCCTTTAGATTGAGCTACAAATAAGCCAGGGGCATCAACTCTAGCATTCTTTCCTTTTTGCAGATGGTATAAAATGAATAAATAAATAAATAGCCACATACTGTGGAATGTTCGTTTTGTATGAATAAATAATATACATGGGAGAGAATATACATAAATACAACACATACTTGTATTCAAAAACCTATAACCCATGAATATTGCATTGATTGTGCACACCACCCAAATATCTGGTAACCAAAGGCCAGTATGTGGCAACAGCATGAACACCAAAGGAGTTCTGCGACCCTCCGCTTTGAGTACATGCTCAGGAGTCGACTGTATTGTGTGCGTGCGCCTGTTGAGAGGAAATTCCACCACAAGGGGGCGAGAGAGACAGACCTCATAAAAAGAATGTAGGTCCCACAAAAGCAGCTTTCTGGGGGGAGAAAAAAGGCACTGAACTAATAGTTTAAAAAGTAAAGTCCAAGTCTAAGCTCTATAAGAGCAACAAGTATGACCATAGGTTGCTAGCATCACTGCTTATACAATGCCCATGAAAAATCCATCCCTTTGAAATGAAAAAGACCGAAAAATAAATTAAAGTAACTTAAAGAAGTCCCGGCAAATAATTTTGCATCGTGAATGATCAGTCAGTATATATATCCCTTGCCGTCAGAGGCTCTCTTTGCTTGAACTTGTGCTTGATGATGATGAATCTGCGCTGATAACAAGAAGAGTGATGTCCCCATTCTCTGGTTTAGAGTCTTTCTCTGTACGCATCCACTGATGCTCAAATATTTGTCCCAGTGTAGGTCTGTCTGAGGGCCGCAGGCAGAGGCACCATTTGATGAGATGCTGACACTCTGTGGAGGACCAAGCAAGAAAGGGTGAACTTTAGCAGATCTTCAATCACAAACAAAAACAGAAAAGTACTGATACTGATGTTGTTTTAAGTTACATAAGCTTGGCAAAGTGCCCTCAACACTTGACATACCAGGGGAGATTCTCCTCCTGAAGAAAAGACGGCCCTTCAGAATCTCCTCATCATGCTCGAACGGTATGTCCCCACATACCATATCGTAAAGCAACACGCCCAGTGACCACACCGTTGCTGAGCGTCCATGGTACCTGTGGTAGCGAATCCACTCTGGGGGGCTGTACACTCTGGTACCTGCACACAGAAAAAGGAAGTGGGAGCACACTGTTAAATTCAAGTGTTCAATCAAAGACTTACAGAGATAAGCAAACAAAATGTTTCACAAATGCTGAGTTTTAAACATTTACAAACTGTTTCACAACTGCTGGGACTCAAAGATTTACAAAGAAAACAATTGTTTTTGGTAATATTCATCAGTAGTCTGAGGAAACATTTGATAATCAGTCTGACTGGCAGGTTTTGTAACAGATTTCTGTTACATTTGGATTACACTGCAGTTTTGTAAGAGCTACTCAGTCAGCTGACTGGAAAAGGCGGGCGCCAGTGTCTGACTCCAACATAGCCCCTCCTCCACTACATCCACAGCCGGCTGAGGGCAGCGAGGAGAATTCAAAAGAATTAAAGCCAACTGAAACTAGAGGCTCATCTACACCCTTTCACATGCACCCAGTGCAGATAAGCATTATGCTAAAGCAACTCCAAATAGGCTCAGCATGAGTCATTCCCATAACAAAAGCCTCTTCACCAGAGCACCAGAGGTGGTGTACTAGCCCCGAAGGGTAAGACAAGCCTGGATACCAAACAAAAACAGCTGTCACGTGGTTTCACACCTCACATTTCACAACACAGCAGCAGCTCTATTTTTACTGAAAGGCACTCTGACTTTGTTAGATGGGACTTTTCACTAGAATGTATTCCCATTATTGTTATTACTATTATTAGCACATTATTACTATCATTATACGGCAACCACACAGAAACTGGCTTTGTTTGGAGAATGTGCATTTAATAAAATCAGACGATAGAAGATTCAAACTTATTTCTTTATAAACGAGGCACTAAGCGTTTTATATGTTGTGAAGGACATTAACTGGCCAGCCCACATCAACAACAGGCAAACTCAATACAAAAGGGCCATTTAATTCCCTGTAGTCCTGCGCAGTTGGGGGTGGAGGGGGTGGGAGTGTGAAAGTCAAGGACTCACCGTCGAAGTCAGTGTACACGGTGTCCTTGAGAATCGCCCCTGAGCCAAAGTCAATGAGCTTCAGGTCTCCTGTGCGCAAGTCCACTAGGAGGTTCTCGTCTTTGATGTCCCGGTGAACGACCCCGCAGCTGTAGCAGTGCCGCACAGCCTCCAGCACCTGGCGAAAGAACCCGCGGGCCGCGTCCTCATCCAGCGCGCCCTTCTCGGTTATGTAGTCAAACAAATCCTTCACCATCTCCGGCCGTTCCATGATGATCAGCCAGCCGTCAGGTCTCTCATACCAGTCGATTAGTTTAATGACCCCCTGAAAGGTGCTCCCCACTTTCTTCAGCAGGAGAACCTCCAGAGGAACCAGAGAACCGTTCTGTGAAGGTAGATGCTGTTTAGAGGTAGCGCGGACAGGCTGATAACGTTTTGAGGTCGGTTTCCTATTCGCCGGCTTCTTGTTAGTATTTTCCCGTTCTACCTTAAATGGTGCAGCAGTTACATTATGTCGCCTGAGGCTGCATAATGTAACTGCTGCACCATTTAAGGTGGAACGGGAAAATACTAACAAGAAGCCGACTTCAGCCTCTTGTTTCGAGGCGCGCTGGACAAAGACTCTTAATAACGGTAATGATACTCACTATCGTGCCCCACTCGGTCACTCTCTCCTTGGCCACGTGTTTGATGGCGACCTGAGTGAGTAAAACACAAACGCACACCTTTCAGTTCAGATGCACTGCGCGCGGGCCACGTTGCCGCGCGATTCGCGGCCATGTGCTGCTGCCGCCGCCACAACAAAGCCCCCCGCTCACCCACCCTCTCCCTCTCTCACTCACTTACCGGCAAACCGTCCGCGAGCCGACTGCCTGCGTACACCGTGCCGAAACCTCCGCTGCCCAGCACCGAGCCCACATGGTAGAGCTTCTCAAACGGCTCCCTTTCGGCTTTAGCTGTAACAGACAGAGTTTATGAGCCTCACAGACATGTGGACCAACAAGAAGACGCCACACGCCAATGCGCGCGCTGACTAACTAGCACCAAAATGGCTCCAAATGTTAGTGTTAAGGTCACGGACACAGGAATGCGACCGGAGCAGCTCAACCACAATTCAGCTTTAGACCTTAATGTTTCAGAGTCACACGAGATAAAGTAGGTTTTATATTAAAAAGGCAATCAGAACAAAAACTGGCTCCTGATGATGTTAACTACCTGCTTGGAGTTGAATTTTCCCTGGTAAGTGGTCAATGTTAGTGGCGCTGCAAATGTGAGAAAAAGATCCAAACTTGGACAGCAGCATCTTTGACGACGTCCCAAATACAATCCTTCTCCAAAAAGCCGCCGCAGACGAGAAAAAAGCGTGGGTAAAAGCAAATCGCAGGTATCCTCTGGCCGTGTGCCGTGTTAAGACTGAATATCCTTCACTGAAAACGTTAAAGAACGCTAAATATCACGCTATTGTGAAAGGAGGAGCCCGCAGGACGTTTCAGCACCGTTCGGGTGTGAAACTTCGCTGGATATCCTATTCACTGTGAGCTCCTTCTGCATCCATTGCGGAGCAAGTTGACTGATGTACTGCGTGTGTCCGCGCGCTGCTGCTGCACAGTCCGCTTATGGGGGGAGAGAGAGAGAGAGAGAGAGAGAGAGAGAGTGAGTGAACCCTGTTAATCCACACACAGGACACAGATCCCTCCGCCACGCCTCAGCTAAGGCTTTCTCTCTCTCTCTCTCTCTCTCACACACACACACACACACACACACACACACACACATTGACAGAACACTCAAAAACACTGGACTTTGACTGACGAAGAACATTAAAAAACACAGATAAAACGCTGGAACAGCCTAATGTTTAATACAGCGCTCTGAAGTTAGACTAGCCCTGTCTGAGGTCCTGAAAAACGCGCTCTAGTGAATTGTAGTGCGCGGCGCCCAAGGATACCGTGTCTGAGAGCGTTCAGCTGCGTTT